TGCTACCAATCTTACCGATCTAAATTACACCAGATCTATTAAAGAACGCCTTTCCGCTATTAATGAACTGCTGTGACGTCATTTGCGTGCGTTAATAGCTCTATTAGAAAACCAAAAAACGTGGGCGGTAGAAAAACATATTTATTTACAATTTTGGAGCAGTCAATTTTGCTATGTAAAGCTTTGTGTCCAAAAGTTATAGCTTGACACTGACGACATGTTTCGAGTGATTGAAGACCAATTAACTTCAGCCTCTCGCAGTACGTATAATTATTTTTGTTAATCTTCAATTTAAATAAAATAAAGTTTACTATTTTCTTCTGAACTTTTTCGATCCTATCAATATGTATGTATGTAGGCATTCCAAATTCTGCTACAATACTCGAGAACTGGCCTCACCAACGTAGAAAATAATTTAATAATTACTATTACATTGTTAAAATTTTTGCAGTGCCTCTTAACAAAACCACATAAGCGAAAACTCTTACCTAAAATGTTGTCAATGTGACCGCTGAAATTTAATTTAGAATCTAGTGTAACACCAAGGTCTAAAACTGTGTCGGTTTTCGACAATACGTTATTATTGATATGATATGAAATATCAATTGGTACACTGCATTTTGTAAATGAAATGATTTTACACTTATCTATATTAGGGCTCATGGAATTTTCACACCATTTCCAGAAAGAATCTATATCGTGCTGAATATCTTTAACATTAGTAACTTTCACATATAATTTTAAATGATCAGCGAAAAGAAGATATTTGCAGTGAGAAAAGCACTTTGTGATATCGTTAACAAACAAAAAGTAAAGCACAGGACCGAGATGACTGCCTTGCGGTCCTCCTGAGATTACATTAATAACTTTTGATTGATGGCCATTTATACTGACTATCTGCGTTCTGTGCTTTAAATAAGATCTGATCCAAGATAAAATACTTCCAATCACGCCATAGTATTTTAATTTATTTAAAAGAAGTTGTATATCAACACGATCAAAAGCCTTGGAGAAGTCAGTATAAATGGCATCGACTTGATATCCTTGTTCCATTGAGTTGTTGATATAATTAGTATACTCAAATAGGTTAGTTACTGTACTACGATTAGGTAAAAAGCCATGTTGGTGGATGGAAATATTATTTTTAAATGTTGAGATTAAATGGTCAGAAACAATAGAATCCAGAACTTTAGATAAAGAGCACAAGGAAGCGATACGTTTGTAATTTTTAACTTAATTTTTGGAGCCAGATTTATGCAAAAGGATAATAAATGAGAATCTCCACTGTTCAGGTCAAGTGCCAGAATCCAGAGAAAGTTGAAAAAGAAGGGTAATTGGGCAAGTAGGAGTTGGACTGCAATATTTTATAAACAAGGCAGGAATACCATCTGGCCCGGGATTTAATTTATTTTTCAAATTGGATAATTTGTGAAATACAATGTCGTTTGAAATTTTAATTGAGCTGAGAGTATTATTACTGTGGAATACATCTAAATTAGGGACATCTATATTTTGGTTTTGATGGTTTGTATATGTACTCTGAAAAAAATCAGCAAACATATTACAAATAATTTGAGGGTTATTCGAATTTTCCTGATTGTGTACCATCCAGTTTGGCATTCCAAAGTTTTTTCTTAATGAATTGACATAGCTCCAAAGATATTTAGGGTTCGTATTGATATTGTTTTCGGTGTAAGATATCAATTTCTTGTAGTCTTCATAAATCAAACTTTTAACAGAATTTCTGATTTCTTTAAATTTATTATGCTATATCATGACTAAGTTTGAATTTTTTAAATAGTCTTTTTTTTTTCTTTATAAGTAATTTAGTGCCTTTGGAGAACCAGTTTGGAAATTTATTATTAGTCACAACAGATTTAGGGATAAAAATTTCAATAGCCGTTCTTAGAACGCTGGAAAAAATATCAAAACTTGTTCTAATATCATTAGTTGAAAACAAACTATTCCAATTTATAGCAGAAAATTAGGCGTTAATTTCATCATAGCGAGCATTTTTGAAGTTAAGTTTGTAAGCTAAGTTATTACAGAGAGGTGTATAAGCGAAGGACAGAGACAAGTTTGAATTGGGCGCCATTTGTTGCCTCAAACGCAACCAGCAATTCTTCCTTTAATCTACCTGACGCGCTGGGATGGACGACTACCGGACGTGGGTCATAAAAGCGTCGTAAGCCGATAATGCAGAACAATGATAATTTATGACAGGCGGCCCACAACATACCTTCAGCACAGAATAATCATTTCTCGTAATCTTTTGACATATTAATTTTAATATTCGAGATAATTATTATATTATTCAAACACGATTTAGACACTGTAGAGCAAACAAGGCTTATTAAGCCCGTCTATTAGTTTATTCGCCTAAATGTATTATTAATACCGTTTTCAAATTACACCAAAATTGAAAAATTGAAAACTTAAAAACTGAAAAATTAAAATACCTATCGAAAAATTGAAAAACCGAGAAATCGAAACATCAAAAAATGGAAAAATTGAAGACCCGAAACATTGCAAAATGTCAGAACTGAAATACTGAAAAATGGAAGGAAAATTGAAAAATCGAAAAAGTGAAAAAATTCAAAACTGAAATCTTGAAAAACTGAAAAATGGAAAGAAAATTGAAGAATCGGAAAAGTGAAAAAATCCAAAACTGAAACATTGAAAAATCCAGAAATCGAAAAATTGAAAAATCACAATTGAAGAAAATTGAAAAATCAAGAAATAGAGAAATGGGAAAATCAAAAAATCAGTTAATCGAAAAATTGAAAAATCGAAAAATTTAGAAACGTCAAACATTGAAAACTGAAAAAAAAAATTAAAAATCGTAAAACTGAAATATCGTAAACTTAATAAATTGAAAAACTGAAAATTTTTGAAAAAAAAAATCGTATCAAAAACTAAAAATTCAAAAAATCGAGAAATTGAACAATCAAAAAATCAAAACATTGAAATCTCAGTAAGTTGATAAATAGGAAAATTTAAAAAACAAAAATTTTAAAAATCCAAGAATTGAACAACAAAAAAAATCTAAGCATGAAAACTCAGAAAATTGAATGATTGAGAACAAAAAATCTAAAATTTAAAAATTCGACAAATTGAAAAATCATGGAACTGAAAAATCGAAAAGTCGAGATAGTGAGAAATCTAAAAATCTAAAACTTTAAAAACTGAAAAATTAAAATATCGAAAAATTTAAAAACCGAGAAAACACAGTATCAAAAATTTGAAAAATTGAAGAAACGAAATATTGCAAAATTCCAAAGCTGAAATATTGAAAAACCTAAAAATAGAAGGAAAATTAAAGAATCGAAACAGTGAAAAAATCCCAAACTGAAGCATTGAAAAATTGAGAAATGGAAAAATGGGAAAATCAAAAAAATTGGTCTAAAGAGTTTAGACAGTACTTCCCTCGCTATCGGAAACGTGGCGACTGCATGCCTATTATGTTTTTTTTTTCACATTAGATTTCAAAGCATTCGGTTTTGTAGTTCCTGATTAAATCAATAAAAGAAATTTGCGCATTCATTAAATTTTTTAAGTCACCCTGTATATCCGAATCCAAAAAATATGAATGGAATGATAAATTACAAGAAGAGACTCATCATATTTTGTAAACTTTAAATAGGATTATACGGCAAACTTTTGAGCTGACGTCATCAATTTTTTGGAGGGGATAAGCAAATATATTTTGACTAAAAATTTATTATGCTCTTTATAACCTTAAAACATTTGCAAGATTTCAAAGCATTGGGTTCTGTAGTTCCTGATTAAATCAATAAAATAAATTTACGCATTCATTAATTTTTGGGGTCATCCTGTATATGCAAATCCAAAAAACATGAATGGAATGATAAATCACAAGAAGAGACTCACTATATTTTATACAATTTAGATAGGATTTATTCAGCAAAATTTTGAGGTGACGTCATTAATTTTTTAGAGGGGATAAGTAAATATATTGTGATTAAAACGGTGTTGGTTTAATAACAAAAAAATATTGTTCGTCTATAAAACAAGCTCGTCTTAGACAAAGAATTTGTAAAAAAATATGTCGTAAAAAAATTTACGTATGCTGGTTCCGACTGCGATTATGGTTTAAATATTTTTTAGAAAATCCAGTCATGGATGTAGAAACATTTGTGACAGCCAAAGAGGTTTTTTTGAGAAAATTGTCTTTGAATTTAGACCAAATTGAAATAGACACTAGGCAACAGACACATTTGGGCAAAAGAAAGAGAAATTAGGATTACAGCTTCAAATTTTTTACGTATTTACAAACTTAGACCGACTACAACAACAGCTAAAACTGTGGAGTCTCTGTTGTACAGTACATTTAGAGGTAACAGTCATACATACTATGGACACCCAAAGTAAGGAAAAAGCTGTCAAGTGTTTTGAAATAAATAAAAATATAAAAACTGAACGGTGTGGCTGCTTGTTTATTTCAAAACAATTTCCTTACTTGGCTGGTAGTCCAGACAGGGTTCTAGGGGATAGGAGTGCATTAGTCGAAATTAAATGCCCTTCAAAATCGCAAGATTTGTCTCCCGAAGAAGCGGTTAGAAAAAAAATAATCAAATTTTGTACATTGACAGACAGAGAATTGAAACTAAAAAAAGAATCATGATTACTACTTTCACGTCCAGGGACAAATGCTTTGTTACGGGTATTTCACAAGTTTATTTTGTTGTATGGTATGTATGCTCCTGGTGTTTTTCATTTTTTGTTGATTGTATCTGGGCTTTCAGTTCCATAATTTGGGCATCGTGAAGCTTTAGTTTATCTTTCAGGCCTATCACACAAACGTTGTTGACATTTTGTTGGTTGGAAGGCTTTCTACTTGCAACGATTTAATCAAAACTTTTGTTAAACTTATCGTTTCTTGGTGGATTTCACAGTAGGTATCAGGGGTGATTGATTCACATTTTCAGTTATTTGAGTTAATTGAGCCTTAACTAAAAGGATAAAAGGATACAAGGATCCTCGGTGTCCCATAATTTTATTTGTAAAAATGGCTCACAAATAATGTAGACGCGAAGTTAAACCAAACTGATACAATATTTTCAACATAAAACGGTTCAACTACAACTCAAAAGCGCTACAAAATATTAAAAAGTTTTATTTATATTGAAGTGACGAAGTGATAAAGATATATTTTTGAGTAAAATGAGCCCCACTGTATCCCAGATCTGTCAGTCTACAGGTCGGATCATCATTCGAATTTGCTTCAGACTGTACGGGGCTGCATGGAATGAATTCCAGTATATGTTTTGGTTATTTTTACCTAGACCTCGGTCGGCATACACGCCTGTGAGTTGACTGTCAAAGCAATTCTTATGCCACCATGAGGCTTCTGCAAAAAGCAACAACAAATTATAGTAAAAACAAACAATAAAACATGTTTAAAAAGTAGTATTTAACGTTAGTTTGACAGAACAACAGTACTATATGGCCAGTTTTTCCAAAAGTTATAAGATTTGATTTTGCGAATTTTATTTTTTATGACAACCAGTGTAAGGTTAATATAAATGTGAAAACCATTCGGGAAAAATGAGGTGAGCCGTGCTTGATTTGATTAACAAATAAATTGACTCATTCATTAATTTTTTTGAGCCCCTAAAGTAAATCTCGTTTCTAAAATTCCAGAGAATCCGGTTTTGTAGTTTCATAGATAACTTGCAAAATGTTATAATATTAATTTTTTCACAACAATTTGGTTGTCTAGGACTAAAACTGAAGACGAATTTATAAAACACAAGTGTAGGAGTGTGTCATTTTAAAAAAGTTAAATACAAGTTACTGTACAAAATTTTGAGGTGACGTCAATACATTGCTAGCAGGAACGATTAGAGAAATGTTAGTGAGCATTTTACTACCTACACGATATTCCTAAAATACATATAAAATTTGACACCAAGCGGTCGATTAGTTTCGAAGATCATCTGTCTTAAAAATCTACACAGACCTAAATGCAGGAGCTAATTTTTCATATTCTAAGAATCATGCAACATCGAAAAAGCTCACGCTCGGGAAGTAAAAAACTTACTAAAAGCCAAAGCGCACTTTCCAGGACTTTGGTCTTTATCTGGGGTTGAAAATTTCATATTTACATGTTGTGACATAGAATCATCTGTACCATATGGAAATTTTCCTACCGATTTGAGTTCATATCCTTCACCTTCATTCCCAATTATGAACTTGTTATACCCTGCGTTAATTTTCGTCATATCCCAATCCACAAGTTCGAACAATAATTCATTCTGTTTACTACCTACATATTCAAAAATATAAAAACCAAACAAGCACATTAACCCATAACTCACCTGTTAAATGGTACAAATATTCCAAGCCCAACCAAAACTCTCCCGAAAGATCACCAAATCCCATCTTATAGTCGGTCCAGTTTCGCAAAAAATCTACTGAGCCGTCGAACCTGTTGAGAACGTGAGTCCAGCCGCCCCCACTTGTCGTCAAGTCGCACCATGCCCAGAACTCCTCCGGAGAGTATTTAGGTTTAATTTTGTACATACCGGAAGCTTTGTGGCCGCGTCGCAGCACCTCTTGACAGTCCTGGGGAGAAAAAATCTTCTGCTCTGGGAGTCTTTCGGTTAAGGCAAGCAGTTCGTCTTTTGTTGCTTGTAGCTGGCTCTTCAGTTCCATAAGCTGGGCATCGTGAACTTTTAGTTTATCTTTCAGGCCTGTCACACAAACGTTGTTGATATTTTGGTTTTCGGGAGGCGATTGTGATGTGGAGTCAACCCAGAACTGAAAATAGTGAGGTTCAGGTGTTTCTGGATATCTTATACTCACCCTGGAGTCGTCAGAATTTCGTGCAATTGTGCTGTTGAGGACAAAAAGTGCCAAAAGTAAGATCAGTATCCTCGACGGCATTGTTTAACTAATGGTTATGGAAAACTGATGTGCTGCGCAGCTTTAAATATTTACGAAGTGTATATTTTATTTATTATCTGGAATGCATAACATAAACATTGTGACACGCCCGACGACCATCTAAATTTAGTCTTTGGTAAGAAGAAACTAAATATTGTATCCATTTATCGCGTGAAGGGTGCAGAACATAATTCGGGAAATGGTTTTATTTAGTAGTAGCTGACCGTGAACTTCGTTTCCCCAACAATTTAATTTTGAATCTGCAAAACCGAATGCTTTGAAATCTTACAGATGTTTTAAACATATGTTAAGCATAATAAATTTTTATTCAAAATATATTTACTTATCCCCTCCAAAAAAGTGATGACGTCAGCCCAAAATGTTGCCAAATGAATCCTATCTAAAATGTCCAAAATAGGATGAGACTACAATTGTGATTTATCATTCAATTCATATTTTTTAGTTTTGCTTATAGGGGGTGTCTCAAAAAAATTAATCACCGAGTCAATTTATTTTACTGATTGAATCAAGAATTGCAAAACTGATATAGCTTTTTAATCAAAATATATCTCTTTATCAAGCCCAAAAACTTGATGACGACATTTCACAATTTTGCCGAATAAATCCTATTTAAACTGTACAAAATATCATCAGTACATTTTCGTAATTTATCATTGCATTCATGTTTTTTAGATTTACTTTTACAGTGACTCAAAAAAATGTATGGATCAGTCAATTTATTTTATTGAATAACTCAAAAATCGCAGAAATGAATACTTTGAGATCTTGCAGACGTTTTAAAGTTATTGTAAGCATGGTAAATTGTTAAGAATATTGATTTATTCCCCCAAAAAATTGATGGAACAGCTTACTCGATTTTCGCAGGTAATTTTGGGAATAGAATACAGTTATTTTTAGTATTACACTGCAGCAATCCAAGGTGCTATACATGTTGATCATAAATGTTGATTAGATCATCACAAAGTTGTTTGAAGAAAAGACTCAACTCGAAAATGCTGAATATGTTTCATTATACTTTTGGTGCGAAGAAAGTTCTGTCGAAACAACATTCGATCAATTTTTTGACAATGGTTGATATAAATAAAACTCAGTAGATCCTCATACTCGAAATACGAAGTATCTACTCGAATATCAAATCAAAATATTTCTAGTTTTTCTAAATGATACTAATACTTCAGTAGGTAACAGTCAGTGTTGGGGACAGATACTTTTAAAAATATCTAGATACAGATATAGATATATGGAAGATAAAAGTATCTAGATAAGGATTGTTTTCGATTTTTTCGAAATGTATCTAGATAACAGATACAAAAAAAACAGATAACTTTTGAAGCTTGGGCGAATAAAATAACCGAAAGCATGTTTATGTATTTTTTTATGTATTGTTTAATGAATTTTTTAAAATTAACAACATTTCGAACGTATTGTCACCTAAATTATTTCTTCTTGGTGTCAGAGTTTGGTTTCCGCTACTAAACACCCGTTCCACAGGTGCAGAAGAAGGGATTGTGGTATTAAATTTTAAAAAGTAAACATTTTACTGTAGCATAGTTATTCAAGACTGAAAAATATTTTCTTTTTTTCTGCAAATACTTAGGCCATCGCTTCGCTGTTTGATGTGTGGCAAATTGTGCAATAGTTATTACGTACGCTTAAAAAGAATATTTTTTTGCTTTTATTGCCATACTACAGTGTCCAAATTGTATTTGAGTATATGTAATAATTATCTCCAGCATTAAAATTAATATTTCAAAAGAATACGGGAAATGATTATTCTGTGCTGAAGGTCTGTTGTCGCCAACCTGTCATAAATTATTATTCTTCAGAATCGGCTTACGATGTTTTTATGACCATACCGGTAATCGTCTATCCCGGTGCGGGAAGTATATATATTTTAGGAAGAATTGCTGGTTCCGTTTAAGGCAGAATAAGTACAATTTCTTAGAAAGATATTTAAACCCCTTATAGGATCAAAGGCTCGTTTCACGATTTCTGAGAATATATCACGATAAATTATTCTACCGAGGGTTGTAAAAATATTAATTTTATTGCCCAAGATTTACACTTAAACATAATCGGCACATTCTAGGGCAAAACGGACCTGCCAAGCCCGCCTCGCGTTAGGGCCAACAATGAAAAAGCGAAGAAATGACACATGTAGCAACAGGAAAAGATGCTACATTTGTCTGCAAAATAAAGGTATAAAACAGTAAGAAGTATGCGATTTATGCGAGAGAAATGTATGTATTGAACATTCAATTAGTTGATTACAGAACTAATTTGTGCTAATTCAAAAAATTAATCATTATGTAACACGCAATTATTATTTTCTAAAAACAATAACATACCTTAAACAAATATTTTTACTAATAAAATTACTTTTATTTAATAACTCAAATACAACCAGCCGGCCTACCGGACCCGAGTTGCTCAGGTACACAGATAAAATGCATTGCCCCGACAAGCTTAAAACGCAGTGAATAGTGAATTGTGTTTTATGGTTTTTAAAATACCAGTTTACCATGGCTTAGATTTATTACCCCTCAGGATTATATTTAAAGATGTATAAGTACTGAAGGCTACAATGTAGGAAATGATGGCATTTAAAATATGAAAATTTCCGTGACAGAACACTATTAGTGGATCTCTTACCTCTATTTTTGTTTGTGACCAAAATCACCAACATGAAGTATCAAAATTTACTACTAGTATAACTCAACTAATAACTACTGAAAAAAAAGTGAAATAGAAAAATGTATCTGCATCTGCGCCATTAATTTTGTATCCAAATACAGATATTTTGTGCTTAAATTCGATTTTGTCTAGATACAGATACTAGATACCCAAAAATGTATCTAGATACTTTATTTAGATATAGGTATCTAGATACTGTCCAACACTGGTCTTATTTTAGCAAGTATTAGCTAAATGTAGTGAAATAAGCCAATGAAATTTATAACATAACGTGGGTGGAGTTAGTTTTACCTTTTTTGCATTTGAAAACTTATGCAACATATGTTTTGTTTTTAATACAAAAATCTTCACGGGAATAATTTTTATATTGAATTATTAACTCTTCTATTATTTTTCCCAGGCGTAAGCCAAGGAAGTATTGTAGTCGTATTCATCGGGCGACTGCTTGCTTTTATGTTTTCTCGACGTTTCATGACCTCTAGAGTACAAAAAAGAGCAATAGTAGTCTAAAAATATTCAAAATTATAATCGTTATTAAACAAGGTAGGTAGTCACCGGCATGGTGCGATTCGATGGAATTTATTGACAGATCAAATGTGTTCAAATTGTTTCATACAGCAGTTAGGAAGTGCAGTGAGTGTTACACTAAATAGCAACAAAGATGTTTTTGTAGATTCTAGGTCATTATTTTGGAACTTGGAAATATATTATCCTAAGGTCAATTAATACAGTTTACTACAAATATTTTAATAAGAGTTTTAGCAATTCAGCTCTAGTACAATGTTTACGCAGACAACATTAAGATGAAGACATACAAATCCGTTGATTGGTTTAAAAATGCCCCGAGCACCCCGTCGACCACAATCAATACACAGAGTCAGCATAAGGCATTAGAGATCGTATTTTCCAGGAAAATTGTCGAAATTACTTCGGTGTTTGATAGCTGCAGCCCGAACGAGTATAGATATCAATGACAAATGAGCTATCTGTTAAAAACTCCTGCGTTCCAAGCCAACAACTTCGGGATTTACGTGTAAGGGAAATCGTAAATTTCCAACATGGCCGCGCTTCTTTTTTAATAAAGTGTAAACGCGCCATTTCGAATCGGCGAACTTCGTCTAAGGAATAATTCAAGCGAGTTAGGTTGGCCCTCGTCCTTTCCTGTGTGACCTTATCAATATAATTATCGGCGAAAATTTGAGGAAAATGCGGAGCGAGCGTTTACGAATCCTATCGTTTCTGTCTAATTTACAGGAAGATAAGCCGCCATAGATGGTTTATAAGAGATATGGGCTAGTCACGGAAGTTGTATGTCCTCGGAAGTCGTTTGTTATCCTTTGTAAACACGATTTTTTTCCCAAAAAAAGTGTTTCGAGTTGTGCGAACGTCTTAAAGAAACATCGCAAAACACTATTATTTATGGTCGCGAGGAAAATTTAATACAAAACGAAAAACGTGGCCCAAGATTGTTTCGGTTGCCCTTAAAAGAGAACGAGGTTAGTTTGTTGTCGAGTTATTATTAGCAACCTCGGGTGAAAACGACGCGGTCTGAAATAGTAAGAATAGAAATAGAAGATAACAGCTGACTGCTTTAAAATTAATATATTACGGTGATTGGAAGCCAAATATTTGCAGCATTTCTCCAAATCTTCACTATAATTTATTACGTTGGAACCCGACTTTACAACAATTATTATTGTAGTGAAAACTAAGAATAACTTTATGTAAAACGTAAATGACTATATTTACACACTTGTTAAAAAACTCACTTAGCGTATAATAAGAATTTCTTGATATTTCCAGAAGACGTTTAAAATATGGGAACAATTGTAACAACTTTTATTGTGACTGCCAGAACTACCCAGAGAATAAATTTAGAAAAGTCAAAATAAATCTATCTAACACACAATCATACAAAATTGTCATAATTGCAGTAGTATTTAATCATTCTATTAGAATTACCTAAAATACGATTACTGCAAGCAGAAACCTTAAGGGAAGTAGACTAATATCAGTAGTGAAATGTAAGGTATCGATAGTCACTAGATGGGTTACATTTCTTTTGTCGCGAATATTGCGCACTTATTAATAATTGAAACAAACAAGTGCATAATATTAGCAACAAAAAAAATGGTCGAAGATTACTTCGACAGAACTTCCCTCACCTATAAAGTAGGTACAGCGTGTCAAATCCCGCTCTTTCGAAAAATTAAAAGATTTGATTTTGCAAATTTTATTGTTTTTTTATGGCAACCATTATAAGTTAAAATGAAAATATGTATCTAATGTTC